GACCACCAGAAAGGCAGCATATAGAATGAATGAATGAATCAATGAATCAATGAATCAATCAATCAATCAATCAATCAATCAATCAATTTTGACTTTTTTGACCCTTCCAGGGGTCTTGTAACACTTTGGAAGTCCTTCTAACCAACCATGGGATTATGATTATTATTTTTTTGCCAAAATATGACGGATGAGCTAATCTCATCTGTAATGCCAGTTAATCCCAGTTTATCCAACAAACCATAGTTAAACAAACCAGGATCTTTGCGCGGCTCTTGGAGGCCATCATTAAAACTCCCTGCCGGAAGGAATGGGGGGAGGGGGAGATGCAGCTGTTGCCTCCCCCCACAAACATCTGTCCCGCGACTCCCACCAACTAACCTGGCGGGCGCTAGTCCGTCTTGCGCACTCCTCCTCCTCCTCTTCCTCCTGCAGTCTTGGACCACAACACCCATTATCCTCCTCCTCCAGACTCACCGGGTCTGCTGGGGCGGGAGAACGTCCCGGTCCTGCTCCGGCTTCAGCGCTCGCAAAGGCTCCGATGCTGAGCGACACCCGCCTGCTCGCCTCTCCGTCCGTCCGTCCGTCGGTGGGCGCAGGTGGGCAGAGGGCGCGGCGTCTCCCTCGCAGGGGCTGCTGCTCAGCGCGCTGGAGGGGCTCAGCGGGGCACCCCGATTCCCCGGAGTCGCGGATCATCCAGTGTCCTGGATCCCGCAAAGCTCCGGAGCCCCCCAACTCCTGGATCCCTCAAAGTCCCGGAACCCCAAAGTCCTGGGATCCAGACCCCCCCAAATCCCAGAGCCCCCCAAATCCTGGAGCCCCCAAAGGCCTGGAACCCCCAAAGTCCCAGATCCTACAAAGCCCTGGAGACCCAGAGTCCCCCAAATCCCAGAGCCCCCAAAGCGCTGGGGTCCTGGAGCCCCCAAAGTCTTGGAGCCCCCAAAGTCCTGGAGTCTTCAAGCCCCAAGTTCCAGAACCCCCTAATCCTGGATCCCCCAAAGTCCCGGATCCTGCAAAGCCCTGGAGACCCAGAACACCCCCCCCAAAATCCCAGAGCCCCCCCAAATCCTGGTGCCTCCAAAGCCCTGGAGTCCTGGAACCCCAAAGTTCCAGACCCTCGCAAGTCCCAGAGTCTCAGAACCCCCAAAGTCCTGGAACCCCCCAAAATCCTGGAGTCCCGGAGCCCAGGAGCCCTTCCCCAGGGGCCACATAAACCAGGAGCCCCAGGCCTAAACTTCTTCAACAATGCCCTCCTTCTGCCCAAGATGGCCCCCTCCCCCTGAAATGATGCCCCCCCTCTCCCTTAAATCCCCTCCCCCAGCCCCACGGCTTAACCCTTGAGGGACCAGACCTCCTGGGCATCATAGCCAAGGCTGAGCCCCTTGGAGAGCAATCCGGGCTGGGTAGAGAGAGAAGCAGCAGCACCAGAGGTTGTGTGAACCCGGCCATGATGAAGGCTTAAGTTCCAGCCCATATCCTGCTAGTTGTGGCTTGCTCACCAAAACCATGATTTTGCAGACCATGGTTTAATGCGACAGGCATATTCAGCCCTGGAAAGGGGGCTTGAAGGACTGTTTTATTATTTATTTCATTATTTCATTATTTCATTATTATTTTATTTATTATTTTATTATTTTATTTATTATTTATTATTTCATTATTTTATTTATTATTTTATTATTTTATTATTTTATTATTTTATNCCTCCTCCTCCTCCTCCCCGTCCCCCCTCCCCGACAGGCTCGGCCCCTCCCCTCCAGCACAGTCTAGGGCTGCACACATTTCTACCGAGAGTAAACACCAAGGTGCTGCTCCTTCTGTCAATGGGGCGCCCCTCCTCCGACGGCACGTCATTGGTTGCGAGGCAGGAATGGGGCATTTGCATCCCCCCAATCGGCTGGCACCGCCCCCCCCCTCCCAGGAAGGGAGGGAGGGAAGGTCCAAAACTTTCTCCCCAGCCAACACACCCACCTGCCCCCCCTCTCCACCACCTCCCCCCCCTCCCTACCCACAGCAATCCTCTAAATGGAGCAGGAAGAGAGGGAGGGAGGGAGACAGTGCAACCCCCCACCACAAGAATTCCAGATTGGTACCCACTGCAGAGGAATTATGCCAGGGTAGGAGAAGGAAAGAGCCCTCGGGGGTCTCAGGAGCTGGGGAAAACAGGGGGGGGGGGCGACACCAGGAAAGGAGGGGGGAAACGCTCCCCATTTCTCAGGGAAAGGTGGATTTTTCACAGCAAGCTGGGATGAGCAAAACTTCCAAGTTTAGAGCCCATTTTTTTGCACACACCCATGTTTACTTTCCTGCTGTCTTAATTTGTGTTTGCATTTGTGTTTGTGTGTGAAAGTATGTTTGTTTGTGTTCATGGATATGTATTTGTGTGTGCGTGTGTGTGTCCGTGTGTGTGTATGTATATGTGTGGGTGTTTGTGTGGGTGTTCATGGATATATATTTATACGTGTGTGTGTATGTACAGCGGTATGTATGAGTTTTTGTGTGTGTGTGTGTATAAAAATCCAACACAAACACAAACATAAATAAGAGGGTTAAGAGTTTTCTGCTCATATTTATATAGTTTTCACATTTACGTGATGCTGTTTATTTCTATCATTCGCCTTTCTTATTTTTTACTTAACAACTCGAGGTGACGAAGAAACCTACCTTCCTCTTCCTATTTTCCCCACAACAACCCTGCGAGGTCTGGCCCAGATTCAGCCAGCTGGCTTTTCTGCCTAAGGGGGAACTAGAATTCACTGTCTCCTGGCGGTCGGCCCAAAGTCGCCCAATCAGGTTTTCGTGCCTAAGGCAGGACTAGAACTCCCCGTCTCCTGGCGATTGGCCCAAAGTCACCCAGCCAGTTTTCATGACTGTGGCAGGACTGGAACTCACTATCACCTGGTGATTGGCCCAAAGTCACCCAATCGGGTTTTGTGCCTAAGGCAGGACTGGAACTCACTATCACCTGGCGATTGGCCCAAAATCACCCAGCCAGTTTTCATGACTNTTTCAATATTTCCTAGGATATTTCATTTTTCTGGGAGAGGGCTGGGTGATAACTTCCTACAGCTCCATGCCATGGGACAGATCTAAGCACCCTGCCGGCTGAATCTAGCCCCCGGGTCTTGAGTTTGACAC